TAAAACAAAACAAAACAAAACTCTGTTCCCAGGAATTTACATTTAAGGATCTTCTTTCATTCAGCTTTTCCTCTAACAAGCATTTCAGTTTCTCCATTTATAAAAACTTCTATTTACTTCTAGGGAGTATTATGCCCACTAATGAAATGGTAGATGTGAGTGCAGGTGTCTTTCTTAGAGAAAAAAAAAATGATGCTTTAAGTAAGCTTTATAGTTCACAATTGTCTTTACAAGATCAGATACATAGGGAAGGCCTATGGATTGGAACTTGCCCTCCATCCAAAATAATAAAAAATAAATTGTATCAAAAATTGTCCCTTTTGGACAGCAAAATGTATGATTCTTTTATTCTTCTAACTAATGTCTAAAACTATAAATACATTTTAAAATAATTCTTATCATCTTGATATTACAGTTTAAGGCCTCATACTCAAAAGGTGTTCAGGACTCTAATACTAGGAGATGAAACTGTGGAATAAAGGAACCAAATTTTCTTAAAATCTGTGTGTAGACAGATCCATTGCCTGGATAGTTACATTTGCTTCCCAACAAGTCTTTTAGTTATTATTCACGTTCTGTTTTGGTGGTTACAGAATGAAATTAATCAAATGAAATCTATGTAGGTTTAAAATGAATTGTCACCTTCATATTATTTTTCTCTTCATAAAATATACACATTTCAAAGTTAGGTATTCTTAAACCCATTTTTTTCTCACTGATAATAAGATACAAAGGGGCCAAAATTGCTCCTGGCTTCATGCCAAAGTATTCTTGTTCCTGCATTGTGGTGGGTTGGTTTGTTGTTTGTTTGTTTGTTTTTGCGTAAGATAATTTATACTGCTTTTCCATCCCTCCACATCCCCTGGCATCTAGAAAAACGCTGTCTTTGAATTGTATATAAGGCAGAATTTGTGTGACGCTCTTCAGGTTTCCAGATGCAGAGATGCACTGTGTTCTCTCAGTGGATGGGGTTTTTGGCACCCCATCCTGGGATGCCAACATGAGACCCCATCCTGAGACTCCATACCTGGGAGGTCTCAGCAGCTGCAGGACAGGGAGGCTGCTCCATCTGCCAGAAAGTGTCATCAAAGGCTTTTGTTCCAGCGTCCTCCCCATAGTGTCCAGGTAGTGACTGCCGCGGTGTACCCTGCTCATAACTGGGGTGGTTGACTCTGCTTTTCTCACCACTCATGCATCTTCTTCCTCCCCTCCCACCAGCTACCTCTGTGTATCTATCTCCTTTCTCCTTCGACTCCTTTCTGCTCACTTCCTTTTCTCTCTGTGCTTCTTTGCCCCTGCACTATGCTATTGTATGTCTTCTTCCTATGCCTCTCACATTCTAGCTCCTCAAGAAAGAGCCTGCTTGGTCACCCAGTCACCATGAGTATCAGGCAGGGCACACTTGGGGAACAGTCCGTTTCTTCATTGGCGGGCTTTGTGTCAGTTGCCTGTCCTCACTCCTCTTAGATGTTTCTTTGCCTCATGTGTAGATTCAGCAGGTGCTCTGAGGACTTCTTCCATAGCCTATCCAATGTGAGATTGATTTCCTGGGTTATTTCATGGGCTTTAAAGTGACATGAGATTTAGCATGATAGAGTAAGATGCTCTGTTAGCTTGTTTTATTGTCAGTCATAGATTACATAAGGGAGTTTCACAAATCATAGAAGGAAGGAAGTGTGATAACTTGAAGACAACATTGAAAAATGTAGTAGATTACAATTTTCCTGGTCACATAAACCTCCTAAATAAATGCAATTGAGATTGGGCAAGATGTAGCACTGGGTTTATTTAAAACCATTACATAAAATGAATCCTTGATTATATAAGGCTACACTGGAGAATATAGTTTCATTGCTGAAAATGACTTGTGGGTTTTAGTAATTTGACTTTTTGAAAGTATACGTTTTCTTTTTTTTTGAGACGGAGTCTCGCTCTGTCGCCCAGGCTGGAGTGCAGTGGCGCGATCTCCGCTCACTGCAAGCTCCACCACCTCCCAGGTTAACGCCATTCTCCTGCCTCAGCCTCCCTAGAAGCTGGGACTACAGGTGCCCGCCACCACGCCCGGCTAATATGTTTGTATTTTCAGTAGAGACTGGGTTTCACCGTGTTCGCCAGGATGGTCTCGATCTCCTGGAAATGCTATATATCTTGACATGGTGGTGGTTAGTAGGGTATATAAAAATGTAAAACCATTGAATTGTGCACTTAAGATGAGTGTACTTGATGTATTTTATTTTATGTTTGCTGTCTTTCAATTTAGAAAGATATGGCTTGATTTCTTTCTTACTTTCTATTCTTATCTTGACCAAATCTCCAGTTTGAGGCTGTTAGCCCAAATATATCCCATGCTGCATTGTTTTTTGCCTTTTTATTCTACCCCACACAGATCACCCTTTCTGAAGCAGCTCTGGTCTGGGCCTGTCTTCATCGGGTACTGTTGTTTAAATAACTCAGTGTTCTGCCTCTGATTGGCTACTTAGTAGTAGACTTTCTGAAGGCATCGTCCATACTCAGTTTCCCTTATGTCTCTGTGGCAGCCGACACAGGACTCGGTTCATGGTAAGATTTCATTAAGGATGTCAAAGAGATTCATGGTCCTTTGTTTTTTCGGAAAGAGGAAGTTGATCTATAGGGTGCCTGGGGAAGAGACAAGCAAGAGTTACTTTTTTTTTTTTTTTTAATGAGGCAAATGCACATAACATAAAATTAACTATTTTAAACTGTGCAATTCAATCGCATTTTGTCCATTCACAATGTTGTGCAGACACCATCTCTGTCTAGTCCCAAATGTTTTCATTACCCCAAAAGAAAACCATGTATCCACTTAGCAGTGACTGCCTGTTGTCCCTCACCCCAGTTCTAGCAACGATCACTCCTCTTTCTGTCTCTGCAGATTACCTATTCTGGATATTTTATATAAATGGAATCCTACAGTATGTGACTTTTGTGTCGGACTTCTCTCACTTAGCATAGTGTTTCCTAGGTTCGTCCACACTGTAGCATGTTCTCAGTGCTTCATTTCTTTTTGTGGCTAAAGTGCTAACATTTTTGAATCACAAACAAAACACCAGGTTTGATATTTTAAGTGTGTAATCACATGGAGTCCTTGTAACAGCGCTAAGATAAAGGAATTATTCACCCTGTGTCACTGATCTGAAAACTAAGGTTAAAAGAAGCGAAGTGTCTAGCCCAAGTTTATAAAGCAAATAAACCACCCAGCAAGGTCTCGGATCCAAATTCCTGAGCCCACGCCCAGTGTCCCTGCACTCCACTGAGTCGTCTCTCGGAACTCTGGTGAATGCCCCTCGCTTATTCAGCCCTGCTGTCTGTAGGCTCCTTACTTCCCATCCTCATGCCTTTCTCCTTTCTCTGCTGATATGTTAGTGATTTGAGCACAACATTTCCGAGTAGGCCAAACAGACCCTTGCTCGTGGTTTCCTGTGTTTGAAATCGCACGTTTGTTAGGACTCAAAAGAGAGACTTGTTACAGAAATTCCCATTGCATTTCAGTGGTGTGTAATTGGACTTTCATCAAATTGAAGCCCATAAGCAATTTTCTTTCATGGCCTGGCAATCCTCAGAGAAGAAGGCCTCTTCAGCTGTGTTTAAACCATTGAGGAGAGGGAGTACCTTGAATATGCATGAGCATGACCGAGGCAGTAGCAGCAGAGGTGAATTTTAATAATTAATTCATTAAGCCAATTTATTTCTCTAATTGGTTGTGAAGCTTTGTCAACTAGGAGATAGTAAAAACCATTAAAAATTCAAATTATTTTTTTACAACTTGGTGGAGCTTAGGTATTAAGGATGCACAGAGAGAGAAAAAACAGACAGGAAACCCCAATCATCTCTTCAATGAGTGTTTAAATATTTACAAATTGCACTTCACTGAAACTCATTTTTATTTTTATAAATGTGTGTTGTCTAAATGTGTGCGAGGATATTGATTTCACACACAAGTTCTGAGAGTCCTTTGAGAGTTGAAGGGCCTTATACTTAACCTTAGCTTCATGAACCAGCTTCAGGGGGTCTATGAACGCCTTGAAATTATCTGGAAAAGGTTACATATGTGTGCAGTTTTCTAGGCTGAGCGGGCAGAGATTTTGCCAGATTCTCATGGTTTAGGAACCACTACTCTACTGCAATCTTTCCAATTATCTGAGTCGTCAGCAGACGACAGCCTAACAGTTTAGAGACACCAAGTCCCTCTGCAATTAGAGAAGGCTGCATCCAGAGTGTGTGAGTATGCTCCTGCCATCCCAAACTGCTAATGACCAACCAGCCCCTTAGCAGAGGCTCAGAGCCCTGCCTGTGATAATAGCCTTGGAAAGTCACTCTGTAGTTTCTGCCTATCCCTCTCTTACTAGTAAACTAAGCTGTACAATCAGGCCAGAGACTGCAGCAAAAACTAAGGGCAGCTAGACGAAGGCCAACACTAGGCGCAAGTCACCATTGGAACTAGTGCTCTAGAGGTTCAGAAGAAGAAAATTATCAGAGCCAGAACCTTGCCACTCCGAGTGTGGCCCACAGGCCAGCAGCATCAGCATCTTTGGGGAGCTTGCTAGGAACACAGGATCTCAGGCCCTCACCCCAGACCTACTGAATCAGAATCTGCATTTTGACAAGCTGCCCAGGGGATTCATAAACACCTTAGTTTAAGAAGCGTCGGTTCAGTGGATGCCCAGTTCTGAGCACTGCTATTCATTCTCAGTCCAGCTCCTTCTGTTCCATCTCCCCTGTGAAGACACATCCCTCGTTTAACTTTACCCTGATTTTAGCTCCTCGGTGTCAGGTGGAATTTCTGTTCTCTCGTGTCCCCTTAGGAAGCAGCAATTTCTAGTGCATGTTTCCTGTTGCGGCCCCATGGTCTAAGCTCCAGCCCATTTCTGGAGTATGAACTCCTCTTGCTGCACTATGTTGATGGTGTTGTGATGAAAGAGGAAGGAATCCAAAGATCAGGGTTCTCCAGTCACCTTCCTCACGAGCCGCAGAGTCATGAGCAAGTTACTGCCTCCTGTGCCTCAACCTCCCGATCTTCATTAGCTTGTGGCAAGAATTAAGCAAAGATATTTATGAAAAGTGCTGTGTGCCTGGCACAGTACAGAGGCTCCAAAAATGTCTCTTTGCTGTTTGAGTCATTTGGCAAAGGCCACAGATACTCTCTGGAAAGGGCACTGAATTGGGAGTTAACCAGTCTGCTCTTCTTGTACCTGATCAGGCTTTGCCTAGTTTCATGTGAACCTGAGTAAGTTCCTTGCCCCTCAGTTTCCCAACCTGTAAAATAAGGCTTTGACCACACAGGACTTGCTAAGATTCTGTATTATACCTCTACCATATTATATATTGCCTCCTAGAGAAAGCCATCACCCACCAGATGTTCTACAAATGGTAAATAAATAAATAAATAAATAAATAAATAAATAAATAAAAAAGCTATACTCGATACAGTTAGTCTAACACTTGAAGGGTATCCCTTGAGACAATATGTTTTAATTGTTCCACTTCCATGGACATTAATCCCCCGCCCTTAGTGATTCTGAGTTGCTGAGGCTGCTTCATGCAACCAAGAGCCCAAATCCTTGGTCCTTTGTGAGAGATCCTCCATTAAGTCTGTCTCAAAACACAACATGCTTCAAGTGAATTGAGCACAGTTGCAAATTCCTCTGTGACAAAATGAAGATTAATTTTGAGCTTCAGTACTTTGTGTTTATCCATCATGGTGCCAACTGTCACGGTAATGATACAGTCTCCCATGCAGACAATTAAAAATCATGCTCAAAGAATCTGTTCGAATTGCTTTGCTTTGAGTTTCAGTTCAATGTAGAAACATCCCCCATGCCATAAGGAGGGCCACCACACTCTTTGCAGTTTTGAGAAAATTTTAACAACCTGTAGATACTGCTTTTTCACTCTAAAACATCTCAAGAGGCCTCTTAAAACTGAAGCAATGCAAATGATTGTTTTGTTTTGATAGTGCCTGTATTTCTTTTCCCTCTGTTTCTAGACCCTGGAACTGCCCCCTCCCCAGCACCAAATTTGCTTCCCAAGATTCCTATCTCTGTTGAGAACCTCATACTCTGGAATTTTCTCTACTTGCATCTCCCTACACCAGACTTACCTGTTTTGATCATTCCCTCTGAAACCAGATCGCTGCTACTAAACAGCAAAGGTGACAAATTAATCTGTTCCCATGTACTCAGTGGTTGCTAATGAAGCTTGTTCTTACTTTGTCCTTTAGAAAGGGGAAAGGAAGAAAATAATCACCCTCCCCTTTTTACTGGGTGTGGGTTGGCAGGCCGTGATGCTACTTAATTCCTTCACCTTCTCCCAAATTAAGTCACGTTTGTGAAACTACAGCTCACATCCAAAACGGGGAAAATACAGTTCTCTGGAAAAAGCGGTAAAGGGTGGATCTGTTTCCTTGTCTTCTGTTATTTTCTTCTTCTCTCTATGTAAACTGTTTGTCCTTTTCCCCAGTCTAGCCTACTTGTATTACTTAACTGAACACCAAATATTAGGTGGTGCCTTTCCACAAGAAACTAAAGGTTTTCATGAAAAAAGTCCTTTTTCTTCTCCTGGTGTATGTCCATCTTCTAGGGGAGCAAGGCAGGTTGCCATGGGCTTATGCTCCATTTCCAAGTGAAAGAATCAGTATTTCCTGGGCCTAGCTCAGCTTCCAAAGAGAAGGATCCCTCCAATATGGGTAAGGCAAGAGAACGTTAACTCAGCACACCTCTTCACCCGTGCAGGTGGATCGTATTAGGGAAGTAAACAACAGTTATACAATATTACCAGATTCTGGAACTTTCCACCAATGCTACCTTAAATGTCTAACTCTGAATTGGAACTGCATAAAAGGCTCTTAATTTAGAGATTCATGAACATTGGCATTAACGTAAAGAAGCTGTTAACGTATGTCCTTAATGTACTTGATGATACCTGATATATGCAAAAGAGATGTGAACCACTTACCCTCTTATGGGAAGCCCCATGCTTTTTGACTTTCAAAGAACGATGTCATCTCTTGAACATTTTATCCCTCTCTTAATCTGAAGTTCTCTCTAAGGTAAATTCAGCTATTCCCCTTAGTCTATTAGTCTTATGTAATTAAACTCTGTGGGTGTGTATCCAGGGTTTCATGTCAGGGAGAGATAAAGCCTGATTAGGTTTGCTCCCCAGGGGGAAGAATCATTACTCTGAGACATGTTACTCTTTGTTCTTGAGGGCCGTGCATTACACTGCATCATGGTTCGGAGACATTTGTCAGTGTGTCATTGTCCGGTGAAATCACAGCTTATACCCTTCTTCTATTCTCAAAACTTTAGGGTACCATATAGTTTTTCAGAAGCAATGAAACTTGTTTTTGCCTATAAAAATAGCAGTAGACACAACCTAGAAGACAGGCTTTGACTTTTGTTTGCTTGGTTTTAAAAATCTTCCCTATCCCAGTAACAAGCTAGAGGGGGTCAGAAAGATGTGTTGACCAGTGTCAAAAGAATTTAGGAGTCCCATTTTGAGGAAGATGACCAAATGATCAGGACAATATTTAGATTACAGAAGGATGTGCAATAGAATTATGGCTTGTCTTTGCTGTGAGCATCCACACTGGGTCTAGCCACAAAGAAAGGAGAAAAAAAAACTTTGCCAACTCAGAAGGACACTCATAATTTTTATTGCAGAAGGGAGAGGAAGAATACACAGGGTTCTGTGTGTGTGGGTACATGTGTGTGCCTGCCTGTGTGTGAATCTATTAAATATATGTGCATGCATGTAACGACAGGATTTTTACGGTGGTAATATGGCTTCTTTGATTGTCAGGAAGATAGGATTAGGATCATACTTGTGAAGTTGCCTGAAAATGATGATCATTTGTAAACCTTGACTGCCTTTTCTTATTTTTAGTGAATTTTGAGAGAGTGGACTTTTTTCCAAAGGGGACTTTAACCAAGGAGAGTGATAGAAGGTAAAATTACGAAGCAGGTGAAATTTATCACCACATCCTGTGTATCCCTTTTCTGGTAACTTTTACTCCTCTCTGTACCTTTTGCAGACCTTTCTACCCACCAAAACCAAGGAAAGTTATAAACATATTCATAGCAATAATAAATGGCTTGGGAAACCACAAGTTAAAGTGGTTGAGATTCAGAAAGATCTGAGATTGAAACCGGGCTCTGCCATACACTGTGGGACCTTGGACAAGTTTATCTTTCTGATCCTCCGTTTTTTAACCTGGAAAATGGGAATAATGAAATCATCTTAGTGCTCTTGCTACAGTTGAGTGAGTTAATGCATCTAAAACACTGAGCACAGTAACTGGGATGGAGTAACTCTTTATATAGATGATAGTGTTTATTACTGATATATCTTCCTGAAATGAGAGAAAAGAGCTCAAACCTTTGCACTTTTTCTAACAGTAAGGTGGAAGCTGTGGGTTACATTTTTCAGGAAGGATGAGTACTGAAATCATTCTACCATCTGTTAGTAAGGTAAACTATATATTGTGGAAGATCACCACCAATTAAAGATGAGGAAATGTTTGCTTTTAAATATATATATATTTTTGAGATGGACTGTCGCTCAGGCTGGAGTGCAGTGGTACGATCTCAGCTCACTGCAAGCTCCACCTCCTGGGTTCACGCCATTCTCCTGCCTCAGTCTCCTGAGTAGCTAGGATTACAGGTGCCCGCCACCATGCCTGGCTAATTGTTTTTGTATTTTTAGTAGAGATGGGGTTTCACCATGTTAGTCAGGATGGTCTCGATCTCCTGGCCTTGTGATCCACCTGTCTCCACCTCCCAAAGTGCTGGGATTACAGGCATGAGCCACTGTGCCCGGCCTTAAATTGTATTTTTTTAGGGGAGTCAGGTGTGTATCAGTTAGTGTTTGCTATGTCACAAACCTACCCAGAAGTTAGCCTAAAACAATGTTTATTATTTCTCAGCAATCTGTGACCTGGCTGGGTGGTTCTTCCAGTCTAGGACAGGCCTTTTGGGGCTTGATGGTCAAGGATGGCCTCACTCACATGTCTGGGGACTCTGCTGGGTCAGCTGAGATGTCTGGGCTAGCTTGGGCCTGTATCCAGGTAGTATTTCATCTTCCAGGAGGCCAGCCCAGGCTTGTTCATCCAATGGCCAAAGAGTTCTAGCAGCTACAGAGGGCAAACTCCAGCAGGTAAGTACATTTCAAGCCTCGGCTTGCTAATCACCAAAGTCAGTCACGTGAGCAACCCAGACACAAGGAGTGGGAAGTAGATTCCACGTGATGGGAGTTGCTGCAAAGAATTTGTGGCCACTCAGATTCTACGATATGAGGAATTGACATTGGCCAGTCCTTCCTATGTTCATACACAGCTATGAAAAGAATTCTTTAGGATTTTCTCTAATGAGTTGACAGCTGTGCTCCAATAAAAAAACAAAACCTTTAGGAAAAAAGGCATCACTTCTTAAAATACAGAGTCATTATCTGCTTCTGATTCTTGGCCTCTCACCCATACCAACATAGGTATAAAATTTCCCAGGTGATTGTAGCCAAAGCGGATTGGTCCAGAATTCTCCACACAAGTCAGCTGCCTTTTTACTATTTGGAAATCTGTTGGAAAGTACAGCAGTTCTGTATTTCCATGTTTATTCAAGAAAGTGCAGGCATAGGAAATGCCAGAAGTGTCTTTGCAGGAGATATGAGCTGGAAATAAAGCCCAGAGTTTGGAAAACATTTGAAGCAAACGAAACAACACTACAACTGCACCTTTTGCAACTTCTCAGTCAAAGCATTGACTCATGGTGACTTGAAGACCATGAACACTGGGCATTCCACTGCCAAAACCTCAGCATCTTCCAACTGATCAGTGTGTCTCATCTCCCACTCTATTTCCATACCATAGTGCTTTTCTTTTGTTGAATTTTAGGGATTTTTATAGGTCTTCTGGGGCTCCTGATTTAATATCCTAGAGTGACAGTCAGAGAATGGGCATTATGTAATTGTGAAAGGAAAATTCTCTGCAATTACAACGTATTGTT